GGGATTGACTGTCACATTATAACGCCCAGTGGGACTGGGATTTGAACCCGCGACCCACAGATTGCGAGTCGAGCTCCCTAACCACCTGGCCATGCCGGACCCTTAGGTTTTGTTTCTATATAATTTGTATACACGTGTGGATGTGGACATATATCAGTGTTAGTGTAATTATGTGTAAGTGTTCTGTACTGATCAAAAGCAACCTTTCATTATTTGTCAGTTTCTGCGTAAAATGCCGTTTGCTGCAGTAGGACCAAAACGTTTGTCTGTTTTAGTGAACTGCAAACCTTGCTATTGTTTAGATTTCTTCTATTTTCAAAATGTCTCAAACTGCCATCAATCTCGTAGGAAAAGGTTTGTTATTGTTTAAAGCTACCAATCACGTCAATGTTTAGTTGTTTTCTATTTCATTGAACTATCTGTCTATCTCGTCCTGCTTAAGAGAAACAACGGAGAATAAACATTTAAGTAATTCCCTTCTATCTTTATTCCGTCTCATTTAACTCTAAGAGAATAGCCATTAAATTGGATGGACTCAGAGTTTATCGCACAAAAATACGCTAGAACATATTTCCATCCACGTTTATATATTCACATATTTACAGAAAAAACAATCTAGTGTTTGTTTGTTTTACATTTTTTCGAGCAAAGCTACACACAGAACTATCTGAGATTAGTCATACCTAATTTTGAACTAACAAACTAGAGGGAAAGCAGATAATCAACAACACACACCGCCAAATCTTGGGACACTCTTGTTTGGCGGAACAGTGAGATTTGACAGTCATTCATACACAAAACCCATAACCCCAAAGTATTGAGCGCATCTTTGCAGCTACGATCTGCGAGCCATATTTAAACGTTTGACTGTTTTTGTTGTGTTGCTTTTAGAAAGTTTGTTTGTTTTTGTTTTTGAGTTTCGCGCAAAGCTACACGAGGGCTATCTGCGCTAGCCGTCCCTAATTTAGCAGTGTAAGACTAGAGGGAAGGCAGCTAGTCATCACCACCCACCGCCAACTCTTGGGCTACTCTTTTACCGACGAATAGTGGGATTGACCGTCACATTATAACGCCCTCACGGCTGAAAGGGCGAGCATGTTTGGTGGGACGGGGATTCGAACCTGCGACCCTCAGATTGCAAGTCGAGCGCCTTATCCACCTGGCCATGCCGGGCCCCTTCTAGAAAGTACCGGATGTTTAAACTTTTGACTACATTTTTATTGTGTTATTTCTGAAAAGTACGGTATGTTTAAGCGTTTGACTGTTTTTGTTGTGCTATTTCTAGAAAGATTTTTTTAGTTTTTGAATGCTTTTGTTTTGTTACTTCTAGAAAGTACGGAATGATTAAACTTTTGACTGCATTTTTGTTATGTTATTTCTGAAAAGTACGGGATGTTTAAGCGTTTGACTGTTTTTGTTGTGTTATTTCTAAAAATATTTTTTAGTTTTGGAATGTTTTTGTTACTTCTAGAAAGTACGGGATATTTTAGTGTTTGTTTTTGTTCTGTTACTTCTAGAAAGTACGGGATATTTTAGTGTTTGTTTTTGTTCTGTTACTTCTAGAAAGTACAGAATGTTTCAACTTTTGATTGTTTTTGGTTGTGTTACCTCCAAAAAGTACGGGATGTTTAGGCGTTTGACTGTTTTTGCTGTGTTAACTCTAGAAAGTACTTGATGTTTCAACTTTGCACTGCTTTTTTGTTGTTATTTCTGAAAAGTACAATATGTTTAAGTGTTTGACTGTTTTTGTAGTGTTACCTCTAAAAAATACGAGATGTTAAGCGTTTGACTGTTTTTGTTGTGTTAACTCTAGAAAGTACTTGATGTTTCAACTTTGCACTGCTTTTTTGTTGTTATTTCTGAAAAGTACAATATGTTTAAGTGTTTGACTATTTTGTTGTGTTCTTTTTAGAAAGAACGAGATTTTTTAGTTTTGTTACTTCTAGAAAATACGGGATATTTTAATGTTTGTTTTTGTTATGTTAGTTCTAGAAAATACGGGATGTTTCAACTTTTGACCATTTTTTGTAGTGTTACTTCTAAAAGTACAGGATGTTTAAACGTTTGACTGTTTTTGTTGTGTTCTTTTTAGAAAGAACGAGATTTTTTAGTTTTGTTACTTCTAGAAAATACGGGATATTTTAATGTTTGTTTTTGTTATGTTAGTTCTAGAAAATACGGGATGTATCAACTTTTGACCGTTTTTTGTAGTGTTACTTCTAAAAGTACAGGATGTTTAAACGTTTGACTGTTTTTGTTGTGTTACTTCTAAAAAAGGTGCGGGATGTTTAAGAGTTTGACTGTTTTTGTTGGGTTTAATAAAGTTCGACAGTTTTTAAGTTAAATGAATTTTAATTGCTTGCCTTGATGTTTTTAGTATAAACCAACACCTTACAAAAGCATAGGGTTAAGTTTACTAAAAACCACATGTTACTTTTTTACGCATTTTAGCAGGGCCCAGAAGAATTTTATATTTAACTGCTATAGCATTTTTCAAGATGAATAATTTTCCTATATAAATATAAAGAAAATTATCGAAGAAACGAAATATACAGAAATTGTAATGTGCTGCTTCAACGATCACTGTCATGTTTGTTGTTAAGCGCAAAAACTATACAATGGGCAATTTGTGTTGTACCCATCTCGGGTTTCGAAACCCGGTTTTTAACGTTATAAGCCTACAGAATTACCGCTGGGCCACTGGAGAGGTGAGGGGGTTATTGAAAAATTCCTCATTAGCACACATTTACTTTTTTTTTCTGTACTGCACGTTATTTAATTTGGCTCTATAAAAATACGTTTCTATTTTTTATTACGCAAATGTAAAAACGAAAATTAGAATTTGCCAAAACACCCGGGAACAATTATCAGAGCGTGGAATATTATTTAAACACTTACAGATAAAATATTCCCGAATACGAATACGTATCTACAAAAATAATAGCTGCTTTTTTGGTTTCCTAAATATCAAAATGGTCCCTTAATTATTGTCTGGTGTTTATTCCAGGTCAGTCAGGATTTTATTTGTACTTACCGAGAGATAATCGGAAGTAGTCGGCTAAGTGACACTCTACATGACGTCATAACTGTCTCTTTTTGATGGCACTATTACTTTATTTGTGGCTATTTTCAAGTCTTTCAAAAATGCTGTATTTAATTAATATATGGAAAAAAGATTAGAAACTCCAAATCTATTTTACCGGAAATTATTTTAAGCATTAAGAATTTCCATTCCTCTTTTGCTTTTGTTGTGTCTTTGAACTTTATGTAGCCATTTGATCAGTGGTGTAATGCTAAATTTTATAGAGTTGGAGCTCGGCCAAAATTTCTCAGACTTGTGGCATCACCATCAGGCTAAAGATCTCATATTTAAAACCTAATTTCCATATTTATTAGTGCATTTTAAATAAAGAAGATATATACAGCACTAATTATCTGAGGCTTCTTGCATTAGTACTAAATTGAAAACGTATATATTACTGAGAGAAAACACGCAATTCAACTTTTTTTAATTGAACTAAGCAGTGGAAAGAAAAACCCATATTTTATTAACTTACTATCTTTCTTACTATACTATAGAATTAACAACTTTGCCTTTTATAATGTTTTGCACATTTCCTGTACTGCCAATACGAATAACTACGAAAAGCACCATTCGTTGTATATTATGTAAATAATAAGCCTTTTAAAAATGTGTAAGTTTGAACTCACACTATAATTATAAAATGTATCTTTAAGCGTTTTAATAGCTACGTAATGTATGACAAAAATAATTACCATTTTAACGATCTTACACCTGCTTTTGAGTCGGAACAGTAGCACTGTACCTAACGCCAGCTCCTGAGGGAGAGTGACAGAGTATGTGCTGGGCGATATGAAAGAGCCCTACCAGCGAGGGATCAAAAACAGCCAGTGTGTTGAATGATACGCTAAGAGTTTGGTTATGAAATACACTTAATTCCGGTGTAGAGTAGCTAACTTATTTTTATATACATATTATTAGATTTCGAAATGTCAGAACTTAGCTTCAAATTCAGGTACCGGATCGCTGTTCCGGCAACCTACACTCCTACTTTTGATATACACATATAACAGTATCAGTTAAAACTTATAAATCTAGAATATTGTGGTAATAGTCATAACCTACACAAACACTTAGTTTCGTCTCTTTTCATTGTGATAGTGTGTACTGCAGTATTTTGTCAACATTATACAAACACTTAGTTCCGGCTCTCCTGCTAGTGATAGTGTGTACTGCAATATTTTGTCAACATTATACAAACACTTAGTTCCGGCTCTCCTGCTAGTGATAGTGTGTACTGCAATATTTTGTCAACATTATACAAACACTTAGTTCCGGCTCTCCTGCTAGTGATAGTGAGGGCTGTAGTACTTTGTCAGTGAGATGTGGAAAGTATCTGGTTTAGGCAGGTAAAATCTTTAAATTTGATTGGCTTTCTTCATTTTGTGAAATAAGTGAAAAGGTTGATTAACCCAATGTTCGCCCGTTTAATTAGCAATAATAATAATAAAACATGTTTAAATATCTTATAAATTTCGTGCAGAAGAGATCAAAGTCTGTGTTTGTTTTAATATGTGTTTTCAACTACATGAAGAACAGAGCCAGGATTCATTTTTTTTGAAGGGTTTATAGCCTTCAAAAAGAAGATAACCGGTCTTTGTTTTTAAATATTTTACCAACTTCATAAGAAGAGTTTGTTTATTTGTTTAAGAGCAAAGCCATATTGGACTATCTGCAGCTTCCACCACGGTAAATCGAACCACGGATTTTAGCATTGTTCGTAAACTTACTGAGGGACTCATAAGAAGAGAACCTGTGTGTTTTAATATTTTATCAGCTTCAAGAAGGTGACTGTGTTTAGGTTTTTTTCAACTTCGTGAAGAATAAAGTTTGTGTTTCTGTTTTAATGTTTTACAGTTTTCATAAAGAAGGGTCCATGTTTATTTGTAATTACTAAATAAAATATTGTCTTTTATAGAGCCACATCACGAAACTCCGCCTAAGATAGACAGCACCAAGTCTCGCTTAACAGCAAAACAAGGAGAGATTGTAGCACTGCCATGTGTTGCTCGGGGTTACCCTATCCCTATTTACTACTGGTTAAAAGAAGAAGTAGGTGGAGCTTATCATGTGTCAGTTGGTCAGCGAATTACTCAATTAGACGGCTCATTAGTTATACATCGGCTGAATAAAGAGGACTCTGGAACATATATTTGCATAGCCAATAACACTTTGGGTGAGGACCGAATCAGTATGGAGTTGCGTGTATACGGTAAGTAAGTTACAGCAATAGGTTCATTTGAAATCAGTAAACAATGAGACGTAACACGAAATATGTATTTAAGTCACATGCTCATAATTTGATTAAGTTGAAGTCTCAATCTGTGAATCAGCAGTCCTCAGTTAAGATATTAAAATAAATATAATAGCCTATGTAACAGTCATTCACTTCAGGTACGATTCAAAATTCTTAACTTTTTTTGTCCTTTCTGCTTACTTGCTGTCTCACGTTGGTTTGCATAAACTTTTTTCCTCGCTCACGTGTTTTTGAAGACATCTAGTGGTGGATCCAAGAGGTTTTAAATTGACAATGTTTACAATGGCCATATTTCAACCTTAAACCCGAAAAAATAAAAGTGTTTTAAGATATAACTTTCCTCTATTCCAGGATAGTCACTTATAAACAAACGTAATTAGTTTATTGTTCATATACAAAATCTATATACAAGTTTAAGTTAATACAACTGATACACTGTATTTAAATTGTTTAGGGACTTCTGGTTATAAAAATAATCATGTATAATATTATTTATCACAACAACTAGTTCCTAATAATTCATTTAAGCTTAGCAATTATTCAAGTGGAACAAAACTTAATATTTTCAAAACATCAAGATCTTAACTAAGTTCTTTATAAATTACGAGTTTTAAACTAAAGGGTCTGTTTGTTTTGGAATTTCGCGCAAAGCTACACGAGGGCTATCTGCGCTAGCCGTCCCTAATTTAGCAGTGTAAGACTAGAGGGAAGGCAGCTAGTCATCACCACCCACCGCCAACTCTTGGGCTACTCTTTTACCAACGAATAGTGGGATTGACCGTCACATTATAACACCCCCGCGACTGAAAGGGCGAGCATGTTTGGTGGGATGCGGATTCGAACCCGCGACCCTCAGAT